AATGATCCTTTAAAAGCTAGCATAGAGAATATGTAATACTACCGCCAATATGTGGACGACATCTTTGTGGTTGTGAACAATAAAGCCAAGTGGAAATAGCTCCAATAACAGTTCAATAAGCCCCACACCGCCATTCAGTTCACGTGGAAAGAGAAACCGATAACTTCTCGCACTTTCTAGATGTTTGCCTTGAACGACGTCACGATGGTACACTGAAACGATTGGTGTACGAAAAAGCTACTTGGTCCGGATAATGCATCAACCTTAGCAGCTTCGTGCCACTGAAGCAGAAACGGAATCTGATCCATAACCAAACTAACAGGACGAAGAAAATATGCTCTGATAACGCATCGGAACAAGAAATCCTGACTCTCACCAACGTTCTGAGAGACAATGGGTTTCCCGACAAGTTTATTATAGAGCATTTGAACAGGGGAGCAGACAACACCGTCACCGCCACAGTTGAAAGAAAACCCGTTTACATAAGCCTCCCGTTTGAGGGAGATACGCCGGCCAACCTGGTGAACAGCCGACATTTTACTAGTTTGAACAGAGTTTTTCCGGCCGCAACACTCCGAACCTGATTCACAAGCGATCGTCTGTGCTCGTTTAAGCTCAAAAATAGAGTGCTTTTCCACGCCCAAAATATCTTTGTGTGCTCATTCTCTTGGTGCTGTGCAGCGGAATACATTGTACGCACGACTAGGCAACTCGGCCAAAGAATGAAGGAACACAATTCAACCTGGTCAGCTTCTGGAACTAGGAGGATGATGTTCCTCTGTAAGGCCACCGTTATCCAAAAACATTATTGAGCCAACGAAGTTACTTAACACAACAAGTAGTACGTAGCCAAACAAATATTTATTCCAGGTTATCACCCGAACAAGATGCTTCAGTAAAATTGTCGTAAATTTCCTCTGTCTGTCTCCGAAATTCCATCAACGTTTGAAAACTGCGGGTTTGAGCTGGATAAAGTGTCTTTACCTTTACTTCGTAGACCTCAGACGGATCCTGTAGACAGGTTATGGAAGCCTCCGAACCAACACAGGGATGATCTGTTGATTCGTGAAACTTCCTGCAAACCAGTCATATGCGATCAACTTTGCTTTCTTATGTATGGTTGACGTAAATTCTGGAGTGACTCTCGCGTTCCTCCTGCTCAGTCGAGAACTTACAGTGATAAGCGCATAAATAGCGCACCACCAATGTTACTACTTCCAACCGTGAGGGTGCAAGGGACCTTCAAAACCAATCGTTCCACGTTCGATTGATTTACCAATACACTGTGGTAAGATTGGTCAAGAGCGTACTGTTGAGCTGGTGCATTTCCTATTTTGCTCATGTTTTCTTGTTAAGAGCCAGAAGATTTGTGTTCTGACGTCCTACGTAAGACACTATTACTAGAAGACATGTTAAGGGTGACTTTATCTCAACGTTCAGATTGCTATACACATCTGGGTAATTATTTCGGGACCAAGTCTTGACAAACTTCCTCATCAACTGCCCCGACAAGGGGACCGGAAAAGTCGTGATGAACGAAACTGATTATATCCCCAAAGGGACGGACATTCTGGCGGACACAACCAAGTTTAGTCAGACAGTCACCGAAAAAGATAAAACGCCCATGGTAGAGCAACAACTGGTAACATGCCTGAAGCGCCTTACAGTAAGCAGTTTGATTCCTAGACAACCTGTTGAGAAAGTCAAACCCACTAGGTCAACAACGTCTCGGCTATACGGTTTGCCAAGAATCCATAAACCCAACTGCTGACTGAGGGCGATCCTAGACATGCACAACCGGTCCTGTGGCTCGTCAAATTGCTTGAACCAATACGACGACAAATGTGTCAGTTCAGCTTGCGCCTCAATAATGGATCTAGAACTGAAAGATTCGTTCATGTGTTCATCAAGCGTGACTTCACTGTTTACTAACTTCCCCTTAACTGAAACGATCAACTACATATGTAACTATGTAGAAGCAAACAACTTTCAGTTAACAGTTGCAGTAAGCGAGTTGCGAGAACTCCTCTGGCGATGCATACTAAATGTACAACTACTGTTCAATGGCATGCTCTACCGTCAAATTGATGGCGTTGCCATGGCCTCATCACTGGGCCCAATGCTAGCCGACATTTTCATGAGTAAACTTGAAAATGATCCTTTAAAAGCTAGCATAGAGAATATGTAATACTACCGCCAATATGTGGACGACATCTTTGTGGTTGTGAACAATAAAGCCAAGTGGAAATAGCTCCAATAACAGTTCAATAAGCCCCACACCGCCATTCAGTTCACGTGGAAAGAGAAACCGATAACTTCTCGCACTTTCTAGATGTTTGCCTTGAACGACGTCACGATGGTACACTGAAACGATTGGTGTACGAAAAGCTACTTCCCCTTAACTGAAACGATCAACTACATATGTAACTATGTAGAAGCAAACAACTTTCAGTTAACAGTTGCAGTAAGCGAGTTGCGAGAACTCCTCTGGCGATGCATACTAAATGTACAACTACTGTTCAATGGCATGCTCTACCGTCAAATTGATGGCGTTGCCATGGCCTCATCACTGGGCCCAATGCTAGCCGACATTTTCATGAGTAAACTTGAAAATGATCCTTTAAAAGCTAGCATAGAGAATATGTAATACTACCGCCAATATGTGGACGACATCTTTGTGGTTGTGAACAATAAAGCCAAGTGGAAATAGCTCCAATAACAGTTCAATAAGCCCCACACCGCCATTCAGTTCACGTGGAAAGAGAAACCGATAACTTCTCGCACTTTCTAGATGTTTGCCTTGAACGACGTCACGATGGTACACTGAAACGATTGGTGTACGAAAAAGCTACTTGGTCCGGATAATACATCAACCTTAGCAGCTTCGTGCCACTGAAGCAGAAACGGAATCTGATCCATAACCAAACTAACAGGACGAAGAAAATATGCTCTGATAACGCATCGGAACAAGAAATCCTGACTCTCACCAACGTTCTGAGAGACAATGGGTTTCCCGACAAGTTTATTATAGAGCATTTGAACAGGGGAGCAGACAACACCGTCACCGCCACAGTTGAAAGAAAACCCGTTTACATAAGCCTCCCGTTTGAGGGAGATACGCCGGCCAACCTGGTGAACAGCCGACATTTTACTAGTTTGAACAGAGTTTTTCCGGCCGCAACACTCCGAACCTGATTCACAAGCGATCGTCTGTGCTCGTTTAAGCTCAAAAATAGAGTGCTTTTCCACGCCCAAAATATCTTTGTGTGCTCATTCTCTTGGTGCTGTGCAGCGGAATACATTGTACGCACGACTAGGCAACTCGGCCAAAGAATGAAGGAACACAATTCAACCTGGTCAGCTTCTGGAACTAGGAGGATGATAACCAGCTCAGGAGTACAACACCTAGCAGACATGGCGCACAACAGGATACCGATCCAGAGCTTCCGCATGGTTCACAAGGCGTCAGCTAATCAACTCAGATCACTACATCAACGAGCAATCGCAGTGACTGAAGCTATCCCCATACGACATCCAGACCCGATTCTTTGTGGGCAGCCTACTAGTTAGTGGCATGCTTTTCAGCATTTGCTTGAGTAGTACGAAATCAATGAGTAGTAAGAAGGCTTGAGAGTTGAGTTTAAGTAGAATATAAGTTCAAATTCGACTGCGCCTACCTGATAGCCTGCAGGCACGGCGAAGTTGGGCGTGGACTGTTAACTCATTCGGAAATCAATTTGGTTTCACGAACGACTTAACTGAATCTCTTTTTAGGGTATTCGACAACTGAATGTGCTCCACACAGGCCGTCTTATGTTTCAATTGGCACGATATTCGATAAATCGCAGTATATTTTCATGAAGAAAACTACTCACAAGGTTGCTGAAGAGTTGTCGAAGAGTTTTCAGCAACCTTGTGAGTAGCTTCCTTTTTGAATAAGCTAACAAGACATCTTCCGTGTCTCACGTCAATCAAATTGTGGAAGCTTGTGTATTGAGCAGACTGTGTCACTTTACAGTACAAGCTACTCAACAGCATTCCTTTTGGTCTCCAAGTTAGTACAAGGTCGAGAAAACGGATACCGTTACTAGTCCTATTCTTCACGGTGGGACACCCCAGTTGGAATTTTTAAGAACCTTGTCTAAAAATATCATCTCCACTCAAATTCCTGAATCTCTTCACACAACCGTTTGTCAGTAGGCTACCACGTGATGTGACCTCCGTGACTGAAGGATGAAGGGCACTGCCTTGTATAAGTGACAGCCAATCCCGCCGCTGACCAGCCGGTCATCTATTCAGTCACCGGGCTGAAGATCTCGGGTTCGAAACTCTCTGAGTTCTTTGAGGTGCCCCTGCTGATGGTTCCCAACAAGAATGAAACAGCTGTACGGTGCTTGTAGGCCTTTCCATCATAGACTGGATGAAATCTCAGTTGAGAATCACCAGGTCTCCTCGCACTACCATCAGTATTCATGATCAAATGAAAAATGCTGAGTCATCTATCTCATAACAGTGTTCTCAATCTTATTCACAAAAATCTCAGCGAAAGTGTTTTTACATGGAAACTCCGGATGGAAATGTGGTGTTGAATGCTAACGGTAAAAGCAATTATTTTAGCTGGTCTACAGGTCTACGTACAGTAACCTGGATTCGTCCGACAGGGTCGCCAATACAGTCAACTCTCTAAACAAAGCACCCGGGGTAGAAATAAGTGTCACCTCAAGTGAGCACATCAGTTTGTCAATTTGGAAACTCTGTATGTAGTGAACTAGCTTGGACCAGCTTGTCGCACAAGCTGTGCTGTGTTTCACACGAATTACAATCTGATATGGAGACAAAGTTTCAAGTGAGTCAGGTTCAGAGATCTAAAGAAAAGCTTTGCAGAACGATACCGTGCCTTTGCATAGCAATACTGTCCTCAGAAGTGAGTACTAATCGAGAATGGCATATTTCGGTAAGCAAACCCCAAAAGGCGATACGAAACCCGTTCATGGTTGTGAGTTTATTAAAATCTGGAAACTGAACTAGCAAGAAAATCAATAGCATGCCTGAAATCAACCCCGATGTCAATCGTTAATGACCAGAAAAATTGTTCGAGGTAGAATAATATCCATGGAATGCACTGGATAACACCGGCGCACATAGCCTAACTATTGCCAGTCACATAAAGCGCTTGGATCTGAGCGGCAAAATGCTTGCGTACTTGAGGCCGTGCAATCTTCAGTGTCGGTGTAAGGAGACCATTTTCAATTGAAAACGGCTCAGGAGATAAATGTAGATCACGGACCTGGACAAAAGATGAGTAAAGAAAGGAAAAATGCATAGATATCTGGAAATAAAAAAACTGTATATGAATGAGTAAATGACAATATTAATTTACTTCGCTGGGTAGAAAATAATGGGTTCTGCACTGAAATTACAGTGCTGTAAAAAATACAGAAGTTAACACAATGTTAAATTACAGCTGAAAGTTTTCTTCATCAATCTGATTGAGCACTAGTAACCCGCAGAAGGGCATGGGAAGTCGCCTCTTCCACGGCCTTGTTCATCCGGTATTAGAGCAAAAAACTGCAAACCTTGTGTTGGTGCTAAATTAATTCTGCACACACAACATCAGCAACTCGGACAGACGAAACAGAGTGAAACAAATTGAAACAATTTGTGAGCGAGCCACTATTTTTTGCTACGATTTTGACTACTAGCGAGTAGCTCGAAGTATGCAGATGGTAGAAAAGTTTTAGGGCTTGCATGGTGAGATAGCTATGGGGTATTTTTGGGATAGATACTCTTCGTGCTGAGCCGTGTTTATGAACCACCCTACCTTGGTGTCATAGGCAGGATTCCGTCAGCTTCCTGTAAGGTTTTGACCCTTTTGATTGTATCAGGAAGGTCAGAGTCCTGAATGCAACCAGTGAATGCCTGAAATCTGCTGAGACCCACAGCTCCGCTACATGCTGACCAAGCAGACAACGCTCCTTCAGTATGCAGCGCGTCGCAGGCTTGTATCGAACCCAGCCAGCGCGAGTCAGCGTTGATCAAGTTCAGACAAGGCCTCCGCAGTATACAGCGCGCCACAGCCTAGTAACAAAGCCAGACCATGTTCGTCAGCATTGGACCAAGTTCACCCGCAGGCTTGTATCGAACCCAGCCAGCGCGAGTCAGCGTTGATCAAGTTCAGACAAGGCCTCCGCAGTATACAGCGCGCCACAGCCTAGTAACAAAGCCAGACCATGTTCGTCAGCATTGGACCAAACCCACCCAATGTCCCTCCAATAAATAGCTTGAAACCGCTGCACTTTGGCTCTCGCACTCGCTTGTTTGGAATATAGCTGTTCCCTCCTGCGAGTCTTTTCCCCAGTACTGGGCACTGGAGCAGGTCAGCAGTAAGAAACAACAGATTGGCAAATCAGCAGATATAACAGACTGTATCAGTCCGCCGTTTCAGAATGATCTGGTTGAGCTAGACAATAAAGGGTGCGAATACCCTCCGCTGAGTGATTTGAGATAGTAACAAGTACGGAAGTGGATTCAGTAGTACCAGGTTGCCCAAATCTACAGGGATAATCGAGATGCTGTGGTTGGTTTCGAATCACGGTCCTCCTGATCTCTAACCAGTGAGCTGCCCCTAGGTCGTTGCAAAGGGACCTGAGTAAATTTGTCCTCCTGTATATAGTCTTCCACTGACCATCCACTCAGGAGGTGCCTGTATATCGACAGACGGGTCGGAATATATATATATATATATATATATATATATATATAATCAGTGAGTAAGATAAAGTCTCAGCTGACGAGCTTCTGGCCATTATTCAAAAGTCAACGTTTTCTTCACGGACTGAGTCTACTCTAGGCTTCGCATGCTGTTATGAACGAGAAACAAGACATAACCATTAAATGGACAACCTCTGACCAGGCGGGAAATAAATAAACAGATGCTCAACAACTATCTTCATTTGCATACCGACTTAGTTGGCACGGGAGACTCGCCTGAAATCCAGCTGAGTCTCTCGTTTATGATGAGCTCCATGAAGTGCAACAGTGGTTTTGGGCAGCCGAGAAGGTTTCAGCAACCCTAAGAGTAGTTTACTTCATGAAAATATACTGCGACACTTCAAATGTGTCATATCAATTAGGGTACGAGATGGCCTTTGTGCAGCACATTTGTTTAAAGATTATCAGAAACGAGGGGTTCAGCTGGATTCTACGTGAGTCTCCCATGAAAACCGAATGCAAATGAGTGGAGTTTTCGAACTTCCTGCAATTCGGGCTCAGATAGAACATGCGGCTGGCGGAAACTCGAAGGCTGCGCCCACTTGATGAGTATTAAGCAAAGCAGACGACACCGTGTATAATCTCTACTCTACTACTCTACTCTACTAAAGTCTATCTACTAAAGTCGACCAGAAATTCGGGCCAACACACTCAGTAGCTTAACCTAAACGTGACATATTGTTTTAGTAAAAGAGAAGACGAAACCCTGCGCACAATCGTAGCTGGCCTAGCCTCGAATTCCGCTCTTCAGACTACATGAGATGACCCAGTCCAATTTCCTCCCTCTACGAAACAGTCCAGAAATGCGCTACGTCTCCTCCACTTGGCATACATTCTTGCTATTCAACAGACAATTCTAACTCAAGTAGTTATATACTATGCATATCAACTTACTTTTTCAAAGCCTTTCAGTCCATTTCCATCGCCTAGCTTGTTCAGGTCGTTCAAAATCATCTTCTTCAGTTTCGTCTGCCGACACGCTTCCGCAAAACACTTTTTGCTATCACCCTCAGTCCCTTTCAGAAGCTCATCGAACAGTTCTGGGAGTAGTTTCTGTATTCTTTCGAAGTTGGGAACAACTACTGCGACTGTGTAGGAGTAGAGTGAACTACCGTCCACGTACACGTTCAGTACGAGTGGACTGAGCGCATAGATTTGCTCCACCCTCTCCGGAGCGACATATTCGCCTTGAGACAATTTGAATATACTTTTACACCGATCCACAATTTGTAGGGTTCCACACTTTGGAAGGGATAGAAAGGCAAGATGTATCACCACTGATAGTAGTTCGAAAGAATTCCAGAACATTTTAAAGGGAATAGGGCGTATAAGGAATATACTTATCTGTTGTCTTCCATTGTTATTTCTTAATCCATCAAAAAATTATCAACCAGAAAGTCCTGTATTGTCTCTTCCAGGGATGTTAAAACTGTTCAGGTGTAGCACTCTTTCCGTGCCCAGCTGCCAAGCCACCCGAAAGAAGCACAAGGGCTGGGATACTGCCAGTGTGCCCAAGCCTAGACAGGAGGAGTCGAGATGCAGAGGTCTGGTTCGAAACACGGACTTTCCGGTCAGTACATGCGCGCTCTAGCCACTGAGCCACCTCACCCAGGGATGTTGACACCTAAATCCCGGACATGGTTGGACATTCTGCACCTGTTTATTTATTCCCATTCACGGAGTTGCTCTTCTCTGTTTTGACATGCGCGCTCTAGCCACTGAGCCACCTCGCCGAGGGATGTTGACACCTAAATCCCGGATATGGTTGGACATCCTGCACCTGATTATTTATTCCCGTTCACGGAGTTGCTCTTCTCTGTTTTAGTCAAAACATGTTTTCATTAATGAGGTGTGCAATGATCACTTCGAAAGAGAATAGGGACCGAATTCCTCACTATCGGACTAGCTAGGATCCAAAGTTTGCTGCATGTCTCTTCAGCCGAAATACAGACGTTTACCTGTCAACGGAATATTCTAAATTAGCCGTAGTCCGGCATACTTTTGCCGTCATAAAAAGCTGTGATACAAATATGAGCATGCAGCAGCCCAAGACTAATATGGCATGAATTAAAAACGTTTCGAAGCGTTTCGAGGCCTGGTTGTTTGATGACTGTCAAGGAATTATATATAGGGAGTGACTGCTAATTGCGGTGGCCACTAAACCAAAACCAACGGTACATGAAATAATGTGAACTGAGTCAAGTCCGACGGTCCAACTGGTTTAGGGCGCAAACACACAACGGAAACAGAATGTTTCGGGCATCTTTACCGAGGATCAAGTAAGTCTTACAAACTATACCAAGCAGTCTGCTACGGAACACAGACGCAGATGGGGAGAAATCAACGTTGGAAAAGGAAATTATCCATATATTACATGGTATTGTGCTATCAAACCCGTAACCGTATTTACACTAAATGAAAAAGCCATTTTGGGAAAGAAATGAACGGTGGAAAAACACTTCGTAGCAAAGTCAAACACGCAGATGTTTTTCATTGCCGTCTTCTTTCCAATATATACCATTGTAGTGTGCATCAAAACGATGGAGATGGTAGAATAATCCGCTGGAATCCAGTTTCACTTCCACCAGGCTTTTAAATTGGCCAGAAAATCAATACGATTTACTGCGAAAGTGTGAATTTCTTGTTACTCTGAATCCGCCGTAAAACGGTTCAGTGAAATCATAAAAGCTTCACTCATCCTTTCATTTCTTGCATAAGCTAATGTGCGCTGAATCATTATCAAAGGTATGGAAACACCCTACAAAACAGAAGTGGCTCAGTTCTTTCAAAGTTGTTTTCTAGCATTTTTTAAAACTTATGTCGCTATTCATAAGTTTGTCGAAAACACTCTGACAGTCCAAGAGCAGTGCACGCTGTCCTCCTTGGGCTCATCAGGCAAGCGCAGTCCCCGAGATTCCTTGATCCTTATGGGCTACTTGAACCCAAACTGGTTTGATTTCGACAGATGCAATTAAATGCACCCTAATTTCGTTTTGAAAGGAGACTCAACTGGATCTAACCGAACCTCCCGCATATCCTGGTCCGCTTCAGTTGAAGGTGCTGCAAATGACAGCATTTGTTGAAATTCTGTCTGTCTAGTTTTCCGATCCATCCGGTGAACCTATTCAGTAATTCACTAAAACATCACGCACTCACCTCAGTCCAACGTCCAACGTCTCCCATCCGAACAAACCCATCCTCATCGAACAGTTCCTTGGTTTTCTCGCTATCCTTGTAGTAACCAGGTGTATTCGTTCGTGCTAGGACACAAATCTGAAATGCCAGAGTGTAATGAAATAACACTGCTATACAAAAAATACTTAGGTGCATAGTCGCCTTAGCAGTTAAGTGTATATCAAGCGGGAGTCTGCATAACGGTAGTCAAATAAAGTCACTTACTGTATGTTCGTGGACTTACTGATCCGTAATATCCGGAATCTCTCATTCGCAGGCCCGAACGGGAATAAGTAAACCGTTCAACTCGAAGGCGTTTGGTCGGGCCAGACTAGGGTGCCTGACTGGCCAAACAACAGAACCCAGATCAGCGTTGCAAGTGATTATGGTTGCTCCGCTACATTCGGCAATGGCCATGGAAGGTAACCTCTGCATCACCATGGTCACGGTATAGCCTTAGCACTTACACTTCAAGCAGACTAACTCTCACGTATGGCCGGATAGGAGTAGATTACCATTAAACCAACCTGTATCGCACTTGCTTTACGAACAAGTTTTCTGGGTCTTTATACCGTTGTTTGTTGCGATTAGCTGGTTAGGTTTCTTACTATATAGATGTGTACCCATTGATACTCCGCCTGTTCTGGCCAGGTTTCCTTTTTGCTGCCCAGTTGACATGTCTGTCTGGCAAGAAGCCTTTTGGATAAGTGCTGACAGACACGTTACCTCAATGTTGAAGGTTGACTTTAGTGACATCACGACCCGAGACCTCTAAAAGCCAATATCTACTGGCCGTATGACTGTGTCAGTAACAGGATGTTTTTATCATATGAGTAGCGCGCGCAAGTAGTATTGTAGTCGAGATTGACTAATAGGTGCATAACGTGTCGTCACGAGCCAAACAGGGGTTTCGAATATGGCGTAGTTACACTGGCACAATAGTTTATGTTCGGCCATGGAGAGCCTGCATACCGAAATGGTTGATCCTATCAACACAGAGGACTAGGCTCCTGCTGAGAAAAAGGTTCAGACTTGTATTATTTTATGCGGGGGCGTTTTGTGCTATCACGATATTTTCTATACGAGAAACACAATAACTGGGCCGCTACCAAAGTATCAAAGTTTAATAACTTCGCCCAAAGAACGCGTGACCACTGGACTGACCGGATTCGCGCTCTTATGGGACAGTCCAGTACTTTTGAAAGTTTGAAATGTACACCTTATATCTATAGAAGTAAAAGAAGTATAAATTCATTCTGAAGGTGATGGTTTGGTCGAATCTCGAAGATCTCGGGCACAAAAACCCGACTTGTCGGTTGGGTACATCGGGATCAGATACATGACCCGCTACCAGTTTCAGGCATTCAACTCTGGAGCACACCTCCGCCCATCGGTTTGTACATTTGGTGTATTCGTATTCGAGTGTGGTTGTTGGCCTAATTAAGCCGAACTACTAATTACTGTTGAGTAGCTGGACATCTTCGTCTGAGGACGCCATGGTTACTAAGACGCTAGACTAGAATTTGAGAAATTTTGAATATAGACTCAAATGCAAACGATGTAAAAGAAAAGGTACAGACAGTCCTTGAATCAGTCAACAGCTGGTGAGACTGAAACCAAAACTTGATGTAGTGTTACTCTCTTGCTTTCAGTCAGATGAGTTCTCACCCGCATCAGAACGGAAAATGAAGCAAACTGTTCTGTATTGATGACCCAGATGCAATTAGCAGGGTCGACTTGCATTGGAGCACTTTTTTAACGAGAGGGACATCCGCTGCACACAAATTGGAAGCTTCAGATAACGCGTGTCTGAATGTCACCTCTGGTGATCGTCGAGATTCACTTTCTAAAATCGTGTTCACCAAATCACTGGCGTACTTTCCGCCGTCGCTAGGCCGTCATTTTTTTCAGACTGCTTGCCAACCTAGAGATCCTAAATTTTACTTACTTCAACTGAATTCAGTCCCCTTCGTCGCTTACCACAAGGGCCCAGTGTTAGTCACCAAAATCAGTTGACACGAGAAGGGGAACACGCAATGAATTATGCGGATCATCATTTCGATGAAAGACATGTTGCTCCCAAAAGTACACTTGAGATTAGTATGAACCAAGCTACATAATTGTTGCATATGCCACTCGAGGTTCTGGACTGCTTAGCTGACTAGCGCGCGGTTGAACGCCCAACCTTATAGCCATAGGAGATTAAGAGAACCCGGACGGGGACTGTGTGTAAGAATAAGCGACGAAGGATGAGATCGCGTAAACCAAACAACGACGGCGATCAACAGCGCAGTCAACCACCTGTTGACCAATGGTCTGAGACAGTTGACACATGTCGACGAAGGTGAATATACACACAAATTATTTACACGAGGAATGCGCTTAGCCAACTACTACTCCTATCGTTAGGTTCACCCATCAATTACTAGGAAAGCCACTGCCAAGCGGTTTGAGTGCAAACGTGATTCACGAGTTCTATCTGAGTCATTCTATACCTCACTCGTATTATGTGGTCATATTGTCAGACGCAACCCTGGTACGTAAGTGGATCAGTGGCCTTCAGTTCATTTATTAGTCAAACTATGAATGTTTCGTATCTTTCATGGGTTCCTGCATTCTGAAGACTATTGGCGGTAAAGTGTTAACTGTTTTTACCCCCCTCCCGAATGATTTCTTCACAATAAGCTTCTAGATTACCACACACCAAAAAATCTTAAACACCACTGTGCACAACACCCGCTCTTAGACCGTCTAAAACATATATTTAGAAATAGAGTTGTCTATAAACAGCAGCCACGAATCTAGCTCAGTTTTGACTTCATATATTTTCCCAGATCAGCTGGAGCACTGAACAGTTTGCGACGTGCTTTTGTTTCCATTTGAACCCCGTTTAAATCAGTCAGCTTCCCTGACATAACTCTCAGCACTTTTTACATCCACAGAGTAAATATTTATGTACCACTCTGGTCGTAGTCAGGGGCGTCTCGTCAACCCATCCGGTCAAATAATCAAGTCAAACCTAGTCAACAAGTCAGCTGCCTTCACTGCAGCTGCGTGTTCACCATAGATGCTGTTTTCACAACACTTGTCGTATCTTCAAGAGCCGCGAAATTGCATGTCAAATGCCCACACTTCAAAGCTTTTTACGTAGGTCACAGTATCGATAGGTTCCACTTGCGTCAGATAGAGGTAATTTATATCCTGATCGAGAATCCCATCGGAGCATGAGGCAGATAGTTTTACTTATAACTGTGCAATGATGCATTACATTCGAAGTTGCTTTCGACCTAAGATAATATTCTAGCTTAAAAGATCTTAGAATACATAAAACTCTACCCAGAAAATAAGTCCTTTGCGGATACTGGCACTTTTCCATTATTTTGCTGTGTCAGAAACTGTGTACTTTTGTTTTGTGTGGGAATATGCTGTTTTTCAATCGGGGAACAAACATCCAGATACTTGGGACAAAGATGACATGTTTTCATTCTCAGATAAGTCATCGTAAAACTTCTCGCACGATGCTCCCGTCGATGTGGGTACGAATCACGCTAATCGCATGCTTGTCACATGATCAAGCGTTACTGCGTCACTGTGACCTGCCGTATGCTTGATATCTTTGGAGTGCACTCAAAAGAATGCGCTGCATATGGGTGCGTCGAAAAGTGAGTTGACGTACGGGTACAGTTGACCGTGGACATGGCGATTGAAAATATGACAAAGGACAGAACCTGCAGATGCACAAGTGTTGTGTGAAATAGTGAGTGACAGGAGTTAACTGAATCAAAGCGAAATGAGGCGCACCACGAAAGCCTTAGTGCACGTCCCAACCTACGGTAAGCCTTCTGGTGAGCAGTAAGGAGCACGTTCGTAACATTGAACAAGTGTTTTGGATGTCTCTGGTAGAATTTGATGGATATATTGAGACAAACGTTTTGATGGCCACTGCTGAATTGCTACGACTAATTAGAGGCCTAAGTTCTGATCGGACTTGAACAGAATCCGTCCACACAAACAGTTATTTTACAATCGTTCTGCATAGGAGAAGGAAGATGAATTATAGAAGGTCTATTGAAAAGCTGAGTAACAGCTATCATTGATATTCCATGACTGGTCGCACAAACTGACAGTTATTTTTGTGGGTAACCCGCAGGTCAGAAATTCTACCAAGTACTGTGTACAAGGTCACTGCTCGAGTTATGCTATCTGGTAAGTTTCGAGAATTTCCCAGGGGCTTATTCCACCAAACTAAAGACCCTATTTCGGAAAAGCGTCAGAAATATAGTTATTCTGTGTAAAATATAGTTCATCAAGCTTCGTATGTGCTGATTCCGTTTGTAAATGCTAAATTGGTTGAAAGTGTCTACTCCACGTTCCTGGTAATGAACTGTTTTATGGAGCCACGTTGTTGAGACGCGTGCCCAAAATAATGATTGTGTCAAATTCGCACGCTATTAACAGATTTGTTTGCTTTGTTTGACGAACTCTTCTAATGTGAAACGAAATGGCTCTTCCCCTCTTTGAGACATTTGGGTCTGGGTGTTGGCCTGTCTTGGTCGGTCTGTCATCTCGACATTCATCAGTGGAACGGATTAAGAAACTCACTGCATGTATGATACTGTGGTGCTACAGGCTTCATTGTCTTACAACGCAGAAGAGTCGAGATGATAGGTGGTTACAAGTGAAGGAAGAAGGCCTTCGCTGCAGAGTTATTTACTAGAAAATGCCAACTGACCGGTTACAGACCATTGGACAGGGAAGCAAAATTCTCATTTTCATCTTATTTACAAAAACTGGACATCCGTCTTCTCTTGAACGCATCTTCTTCAACTTTCCTGGATATTCATTGCCTCCAGTCATTCATTGCTCAAATCCAAGCAAATGCTACAGAGCGACTGCACAAATTCCGCAACAGATCTCCCTTTTCAAGAGACGCAAAGCGGATTTACAAGAAGAAAACATACTACTCGCATGCCTCTTCATTATTAGTATCACCATTACGCCAGTAGCCACCATTGTATGATACAAAATCCCCCAACCTGACCTGCTGCCTCAAATAGCTTCGGTTGTAGTAGCTGGTTTAGACCAGAAAAAAATATAACTTTCACCACCAGTCAAACAACACTACCTGCCTTCCACTGTACTTTATCCTTATTCCTTTCCAGAATTCACAGTGTGCAGTGTCGAGCTCGGGGCGGGTGAGCAGTCCACTCCTTGGACGCTTCTCATTTAGAGAGCACTAGAATGTAGGTTATTGTCAAACTGCAAGCTTCGTCCTAAAAGGCAGCATCGATATCGTAGTGAATCACGTAAATGAGTTGCAACATAATTCACATTTTGTGTTCCTCTTTGAACATGTGTATCTCCACACGAAAAATGGTTCTGGTCGGGCAACACCCAGTCAGACCCTATGAACCGGTTACAAACAGTTTTTGTTTTCCTGAAGTTCGCTTATCAAGCCACTTTGTTTTCCTGATGTAACATGCTACTGATAAGGACACTGGATGTTTTTTCAAAGCCTACGACCAGCTTTCTCCCTAGTTAGGTATTTCAGGCAGGTCCCTGACCTTTCATGCACCATGTGTTTTACTTGAACACAAAATTTTATTCAAATGAAGAAAAACACTCGTTTGCAAATTAACATGGGAGACTAAAATGAATAACACCGAACAAATCTCAGATATCTCGAATATAATACCAGTATAAAGATGGAGCTGACACTTTGCGGCGCGTTTGGTCGAGGAAAATATACTATAAACGGTGAGTTCAGTCACGTCTCCCGGCAACCCAAATTAACTTGCGAATGCACTTGTTCCGTTTCACGGATTACCAGTGTTCCGAAAAGTGAAACGGCACTTAGTCCTATTTTTTTCGATTGAACGGTAGCAGTCGGACAGGTGTACTGTTTCAACTTATAGACTTATTACGCAAATTCCATCATTTCTATTGGTTTAGAATAGGATAGTAAACTAACCTGGTCGCGAGGCGTAGATTCCGGCTGCTCACATCATGATGGCTTAAAAATACCGCAAGTCTGTGCACGTTGTCAAGATGGGCCAACTTCGGCAGTGGGTTGGTAAAGAAGTCTGGGATATTTTCATAGAGGAAACTACTTACAAGGTTGCTGAAAACTCTTCGACAGCCCACGACCGGTTTCGCCCTTCTTGGGGCTCATCAGGTAGGCGCAGTCCCCGAGTTTCCGTCAACCTTGGACCAACTTTGGACCGTCGACTGGGACCCAAATTGCACGGTTTTCAGCAACCTTGTGAATAGTTTTCTTTATGAAAATATACTGCGATATCTCGAATATCGTGCCAACTGAATCATGAGTCCTGTGTGCAGCACTTTCAGCTGGAATACATCATAAACGAGAGATTCAATTGAGTCTCCCATGAAAAGCAAATTGATTTGCAAATGAGTGTTCTTCTAGCAAAGTCTGTGGGATTTTCAGTAATATAATCTAAAGCAAGCAAGTACACAGGATTGAATCTTCGGCTATAATGCACTTCGTGATGACATAAAACGAAGACGGTTTTCTCTGTATGTTTCTTTCACACCCGCGCCTTACGTTGTCTTTTTCATACCCATCATTCATATCAAGACAAAGATCTACTGAAAAAGTGTTAGTGACCAAAGATTGTTAAGTCTCTTCAAGTGTTTTTCAATGAAGCACAGCCTTGGATAACATATGTACTTGATCTCTAAATGTTAAAATGCGACTTCTAGGGTTCAAGGTTGTTCTGAGCGTGGAACGCTTTATATTCACTGGCTATTCTCTCGTAATTTCTAATGCGGTTGTGAGCGTTTGTCATTATGAGTCTGACCATTCTGTCTAGCTATTATCCACTATTGTGGATGGTTCATTTGCGGTCGATAGGTTACGCTACGTGGAAGGACACGTTTCCGCGGGCATTCATGAAGGAAGTAGAGCTGTTGTACTGTGGGCATGTCGGCAGGTCAAAATCTTTCATCGACGGGCTGTTTTGACCGTTCTACGCTCCAAGGTGTTGAATAATAGCTAGAAAAATTATGATCAATGAATGGTAAGACACATTGTTACAGACGCTCATAAGGCTCAGGATTGCATCATTTACATCTGTAGCCACCTGATGGGGTGGAACCCCAAAATAATTACGTACAACAACAAGAACAATGAGGGCTTCACCTCAAGGACCTTGGAAACGTTATTTTCAACAGCTATGTAAAATCTAATCGATCTCTCTTAACAGCAATCTGTTGACAAACACCTGTGTCCTTTGGATTCATCACTTGATTTATTCCGCGGAACACTCACTGAAGTCAGTCAGGCAACAGACTTTTCGACACCTTCAAACATGTAGTACCTACCAGCTTCACTTTGTATAATGCCCGCTTCTTGAAGTCGACCTTGATTACCAGTGTAATGTTTAATAAAATAGGCCCATGCGCCACACGAATTTGATAGTAAAACGCCTGAGGAAGTCATGAAAAGCTACTACTTTCCTTGGAAGGTAGCCGATGCTTTAGCGAAAATATCTGAATGTGTTACGATGGAATACCAAAGCGTCAGCCGATAAGGGATAAAGGAGATTTTATGACGGACTTCAAGGGGTTTCCACTTGGTTCTTGAGTAAGAAAAAAATATTGATTCAGTTTGTAAACAAACATTAGAAAAATGGGAGAAATTTAATTGGTGCGTGCATGCTTCCAACCGAACACATCACAAGAGAGAAACCTCTAAAACAGGTAATTATCATTAGGAAATCACAAAAGCATGACAGGACTCTGTCCAGGGACGAATTAGCCTCATGAAGCAAATCAAATCAGACTGAAAAAATCATCTCACTGCGTCACCTATCCTCTAGAAATTGTTCCATGGCATATTGATCTGGAAAACACTGTTGAGTTTACCCAAACTGTGGTTATCTTCAGTTGGCATTCATCGTCAAAATCCACTCACACACCTCGGATACTTTCATACAAGGAGGGAAGTAGATTTTGTGCCAAACTCACGCCACATCTTTATTATAGCTGCTGGCCGAGTGCGCACACAGAGAACGTGGCAGGGGGGGACACAACGGGTGTTTTCGATCTAAGAGGAACATTATTACTTCACGCATTAACGACTTTCATCGGAAGCAAATACATCTGAAAAGCACATTCGCAAGTAGGCCA